TTGTGCATGAGAGTCTCTTTTTATGTAATTAAATCTTTATTTTTCTTCTTGGAGATTTAAATTCTCCAACTATTGCTCTGATTTCATTCTGTTTTCTGTCTCTATTCTACTCATGCATCAAGGCCCATATGAAATGTCAGATTGGTTCATCTATTAGAACTCTCCAAATAGCATGTATCTTTTCCTTCTTTGAACGCTGCACCTCAGTGCTTGCTGTTCTCAAGACTGCTGCTTTATCGCTACCCTTTACACAGTTTTGCATGTGTGAATGCTTCTCTAGGGTCTTGGACTTTTTTCTTTGTACCTCCTGCTACTTCTGCCATTAAACCTGCTACACAGCATACACTTCATAAATATTTTTGAACTCAGTTTTATTACTGTTAAAACTCTACTTTTTTCAAAAGGTCCTATAAGTTATCACAAAGTGATAGATAGAGCAATGTGCAGTGGAAATTTGCATTATTGCTTTTCTCTCAAAGGTTTTAGAAGGCTTTTATAGAACAGCTATAATTCAAGAGACAGCACAGGCCTAGCTGCTTTATTTCTGACAATGTTTTTATTTGAGTTGCTTTTTAAAAAGTAATTTATGTTCCAACTATTCTGAATCCAGAGATACAATTGCACATCAGTAGTATCATATGCTATTTAAATAAGTGTTTTCTTGCCTTGGCATTTGATACTGAATCCAAATCAAATGTTTATCTGTTTGAGTTTGTTCCTCAGAAAGAAAATCTTGAAAAATTTGACATGTTGCAGCAGAAAATTAAATTTCTACCTTGAAATGTTAACCAGTGACCCTCCACAATACAGATATTTTCAAGCCTGGAGAGAGAGAGAGCCATGGATGTATAGAGGAGACTGGAATAACAGGGACAGTTTCATTTTCAGAACCTAAAGCCAAGTGGATTCTTCACCTCAGTTTCCCATTTCATTTCCACTTCATTTCTTTGGGATTTGTCTACATGTTTCTGGGAGGAGTGTATTCCTTGAAAACCCAGGTGGACATGCTGTTGTATGCATGCAGAGGTCAAAGGGCAACTTGGAATAGTCCTCTCCTTCTGCAATGTGAGGTCTGTGGATTCACCTTAGGTTGTCAGGCTTTAAGGACAGCATTTTTACCCACTTGAGCCATCTAAAAGACCAATAATTTTGGCTTTAGAGAAAAATCAAGATAAACTACATGTGAATTGAATCTAATCAGTCATCTCATCCAAGCTTCTAACTTGTGTAAAATCTACTTTAGAAGATAAAATATCTGTGGAAATATTGTCCACACTGAAAGAAACCATGATACAGTTCTACTTTTTCTCTGAAAAATTGTTGGTAGAGGTGACTTTCTAAAATGTAATAAAGACAGAGACAATAAACTGAAAATGGCACTGTTTTGAGTAGTGCATGAGAAATTCATAACATTTATCAAATAACCTTATACATGACAATGAAGAAGTAAAGCCTTTGTTGAGCTGGCATGTGGTGTATGTGTGTGTGTGTGTGCGTGTGTGTGTGTATGTATGTGTGTGTGTGTGAATAGAAACACAATAAACTGAATTTTAAAATCATAAAAAGTACGTTGTTGTGTTTGAGATGCAAGCATACCAGGTTACTGGTAGAACTTTCAGATTCATCTACTAAAAGTAATTTTGTTTGTGCTTATCAAAAAACCTAGCTTTCTATCAATGAGAAGCCACAAAGAAAGGAGAGGAGGAACAAGCTAATAAACATGTGTTTGTCCTGACTTGACTATAGCTCAAACCTGAGAATTATTCTTTTATTTTTGGCCTTAAAGTATGGCTCCTTCCCAGGAATAAGTGTAAATGTCTTCTAAGAACAAAAAGGTCATGAGAGTCTAGGACATAGAAGTCACTACATGAGCCATTTCTGTTTGCATAGCTTTCTGCAATAATTCATTTCTCATATACACACATTCCTTTCCTTTTGCAAACTTTCTCCCTGGCTACTATGTATAAATAATTTTCCCCCAGATTTTCAGAAAACCTAATGCTCATCACCCTATATCTGCTTAATGCCATCTACTGAGAGAAGGACCAGGATATTTAATCTTGAGTGCCCATTTGATTGGACTCAGAAATACCTAGGAGGTTATTAAAGTATACTTCTGGGTACATGTGAGATGATATTTTGGAGACAATTAAACCACCAGGGCCCTGAGATAGTAAATTGCTTATTTCATTGATGTATTCAAAATTTGATCAGATCATTGGGAAATAATGATGGGAAATGTAGGCTGATTGGAGAAAATAAGTCACTGGGGTTTTGCCCTTGGGGCTTCATATTACCCTGGCTGCTTCCTGTTATTGCCCCTTGTTGCTTGCTCTCTACAGTGAGGTGAAGAAGCCCTTTTGCCATATGTCCCCACTGCCATGATGCTTTACTTCATCATAGGCCCAGAGAAATGGGGAGATAAGTGACCATGGTGACCATACCTAAACCCTCTGAAGCCATGAGCTCAAAATAAGTCTTTCCCCCATTAGCTGTTAATGTCAGGTATGTTGTCACAGCCAATCTTTGTAGCAAAGTGACCATTCCTGGTATCACTAGATGACAGTTTATCTTTCTGTTTCTGACTGCATCATCCTCAGTCCTTACATTTTTCTCTTTTTGTCAAAAGGAACCTAGACCTTCCTTGAGAATGAGCAGCTAGGGGAACAGCTGCTGGTTAGTCTGATGACTGAGATCTGCATTGTGGATGACTGAACACACTTTACTGCTTTCATAATTGCTGAAGACATTCTGTTATTAGAAAATTCTTGAAAGGAAAACAGATAGAATGATAACATCTGGTTTAGGATAAAAATCTGAATTTGTATTTAATCTTTATGTAGAGGCATGATGCAAAAAGAAGTGAGAAACTAGAAAGTATCACTAAAACAACTTGTTTTGATATTTTTATAAAAGTTTCAAAGTTTTTATTTTATATGATGCCCTCCGGTTAATAGGAGGTAGCTACATTTGCAGTTTGAAGTCTGAGACCAGGCTAGCCTGAGCTACTGAGACTTTGCCTCTAACAAATGAATTTAAAAGAAAATTAAAAAGTCAATTTTGTGCCTGACTACAGTGATTTTCAGTCACAATGATACTTTTTTCACTGGAATGATCCTGATAGGCAGTGAACAATTTACAGTCAGTCTGGTATGCTCATAGTTAAACCGCAAATGGGATACAAACATTTACTTATTTATTACAAAGACATTTATTTCAGGACCAAACACCTTTCATATCCTGTTCAGATGGAATCTTTGTCTTTACCCTCCTGTGACTTAGCACAGATTGATTAAAAGAAAAGTTATCATCCCAGAAGTCAGTTTATTATGCAAAACAGTATATTTAAGGTTAGCAGAGAATGTAGCATTCCAGGTTGTATGAGAGGAGCCAGAAAAATGAAGGATGTAACCTTTGAAAGAGACCATGCACAAAGCTAAGGAAGGTGTAAGAACTGGGTACCAGAGAATGAAGTCTTCCTGGACAGAGAAGCACAGTGTTCAGAAACCCACGGTGAGATCTGAGAATAAATAAAGTTTTTTGGGTTTTGTTTTGCTTTTTTTTTCAAAACCTCTTGAGTTTTGGTGATCGATCACAATTGAGGTGAAACACATCATGGGGGTACCACCAAGTAGACTAGGACTGAGGAAGTTGTGGGTTAGGCAATGTTATTTATAATGAAGTAATAGCAAGTAAGGATTGTAGCTGGAATTTACCAGGAGTTTAGAGGATCTGCTGTTGGAATTATTAGCCGAGAATTCTGATTTATCTGTTATGTATTTATTTATTGTTTAGGCTTCTTTTCTTATTTTGAGACAAGATCTCTTTGTATAGCCCAGACTAGCCTTGACTTCATTATCCTCCTACATCGGTCTCTGGAGTGCTATACAATTCTGCTTAAACACTGGGAAGATTGGGGCGGGGGAGGCGGGGGATGCAAACTAACAGGGTCAGGACAGGCTGGATTGAGCAAAGAGCTAGTGTGCCTGGCTGAACAAGAAATCGGAGACACTGACGCGGACAAGTCTACAGTTTTATCGCCAATATCCAACGAACACAGGCGAAAGATGAGTCGGTAGGAGGAGAGGGGCAAGTTCCAGAGGTAGAATGGAAAAAATAAAAAGGCATGAACTTGGCAGTGACCTGCTGTTCACTTCTCTCAACCCTCTGACAGAACACGGAGTCATCAGGTTAAATCAAACACCCAAACACTGGAGCAGAGGAAAACAAAGCAGGCTTCATGGCGCACTGTGAATAAGAGCCTGGCTACTCTCCTTTCCTTCCCGCCTCAGGATGGTCCTTGGTTCCACCCAGCGAGTAAATCACACACCTCGGAAGTTTTGCATTAGAGACCCAGCAGGGGAGGAAATTTTCGGCAAGTAAAGAAAGTAGAACTAGGGCAGTCCGAGGAGAATAAAAGGGCAAAACTATCAAGCAAGAAAACTGTAAGTTCTGATTAGTTTTATGACTTTGCCTTCATGCCTCAGGAGCTCGATTGATCAACGGCTTCCACGACAGGCTGAGAGGAGGGGAGGGCTTGAAAAAAAAAATCCTCAATACTCTCTCCCACCTTCATGTTTTCAGATGCAGACACTTCGAGGGGAGAGAGAGAGAAAGACAGACGGGCTTCAGCCCCTCCTACTTTCAACCCTCTTGGTTTCCCTACGAAGGAATCCATCTGCACAGATCTGTCAGCGGGGAGGTGGAGGAGGGTGCGCGGGTGTGGATATGTGAGCGCGCCTGCGGGGCTGATCGGTTCCCTTTTGGCGATCTTAACCAATAAACCTTCCCCGGGTCTCCAGGAGGTCTCGAAGTCCCCTGAGCTCCGCCAGGCACAGATCTATCAGTGGGCAACCGCCGGGATCAGCATCACCCTCTAGTGCGCCCTCTCCTTGTCACCCGCTCTCGCCCTCTCTGCCCTTTCAGGACGCGCGCTCCCGCAGACTCCGGACCTATTGCGGGAGACGATCTTGAAAGAAGGTCTAGGGTGGGGGGTGATGATGCTCCTTCTAGTCTGCCCAAGGAGCGGGATCCTGATGTTGGAGGCTCCGCAGGGTTCCCGGACCCGGCAGAGTGCGCTGTGATTGGAGGAAGAGCCGGCGCCGGCCGGGCCCAGCAGGTGTGGATCCGGTGCCTCTTTTGCCCGGCTCGCTCAGCTGCGCGCACTGGATCCTCCAGCGCCCGCGGGCGCCCCGCCGCCAAGCGCGCATCCTTTTGGAAGTGAACGCCAGGGTGGCAGGCGCTTGACGCCCCCGACAGGGCAGCGAGGCTCCAGGTGAGTGAATGTGTGGTGCTAGGGGCTGGGGAAGGCGCGCCTGGGCAGGTGCGCGCCCTTGCTGCGCGGCTGGAGAAGCAGGACTGATCAGTGCGCAGAGAGCGGGCGGGGGGAACCTTGCGGAGTTTCCCTCCAGGTTCCCAAGTTACTGCGTGCAGTCGGGAGACGTGGTTCTGCACCGCAGGACAGTAGTGGGGACTGAGCTCTTGCGCGCTCAGCAGGGAAAGCGGTGTTGTGTTGACAGACTCCAGGTGCGGAGCAAGAAAGTAGTTCAGGGTGAGAGCCAATCCCAGGTCTGTCCAGATGCAGCTGTAAACAGCAGCGGTCAGCACCGCGGTTGTCAGAGAGGAACCTAGCGGGCCCCTCCCCTGACCTCGGAATGATTGGGGCACAACTCTGTATCATTGACTTCTGCAGAGGTGTCAGGCTGGAAGAAGCTGTGCGCCTGTATTGCAAGAGTCCTTTGAACCATCTGCTTTAGACCACTTTCGCCTTGACTGAATGTACACCTTACTTAAGGTTGCTTCGCGTTTCTTTGTAATTAGTATTCCGCGGATCGGGTGCATCTGCAGGGCTTGCCTCTGCTCTGCTTCCGGCTTCCCCTCTGCTGGTTGTATGTTAGGTGTGCTCTGGGAAACGGGCACCTTGCTTCCCTGGAATGAATGCTGGACTTCGTGGGTTCCCATGGCACACTGCTAGTTGCTGGTATTCACCTTTCCAGCCTGGATTAATACAGAAGGACCTTTGACCTGAATGCTTTGACGTTTTAGATCATTAACCCTACGGATTTCTTAGATGTCATAGTTCAGGTGAGTAGAGAGTAGTAATTAGTTTGCCCAGCACTGAAAAATGGTCAGGTGTTGAAAAGATACATCAAATGTTGAGCATCTCAAGACTGTGGAAGTCTGCACACTGAATCATGAATATTTGTAAAACACCGTTTATTTAGCAATAAATATTTTGTCTTTATTAGGTCATGTATCAAATGCTATATCTATAAAAGTAAAACTTTCCCTTCACAATGTTTATAACCAGCATGTGTTTTATACAAAAGTAGATGATCAGTAAATAATATACTTTCATTTTAAATTAACAATATCCGTTTTTAAAGCAAATCAAGGACAGAAAAATGTGTATTTTTAAAGAACTAGGTATATTATTTAAAAGTTCAGGAACACTAGCAACCTTTGCTAAAGGAAAGTTTGTGTACTTTCCCTGCCAACAATATCTAAGTTGTTTTTAAGAGTTTAAAGAATATCTTTATAAAGATATAAAGATAAGTTGTTATGGGGAAAAGAGAGCTCTAGAAAGAAAGTACTTGTATTGGAAACATCCAGAAACTCAGCAAAATGACTTCTGTTTTAAAGAAATAGCTAGACATTATGTTAATAAAAGTTGTTTTCTTGTTGTTCTGTGTAAGAGAAATTCATTAAGAATGTTTTCTTCCTTTTCCTGGCTATTTTGAAAAGCATAAAGTAAAATGACTATCATGTTAGCACAGACACAGGCTGACAACTTTGTAGAAGTCTTGCTTGTGTGTTGCTGTTTAATATCTAGTGTCTTGGGAGAAGCAATGAGGCAACATTTAATGTTAATAGCTTCATCTGGTAAAGCTTGCTAAAAGTCTGTGTGTGGAAAGAAAAATAAAGCAAGCAGCACAGCCCTTCACCCTCTAAAAGCTGTTAAGGTTTGCAGTGTTAACGAAAGGGCATTGTGCACTTATTGTGTAAGATATTATTGTAATTAAGGACTGCAGTAGGTCATTAGAATTGTGTTAACAATCAGTTGACAGATTCACAACTCTTCTTAAGTCTACTTTTATTGATTCAATAGCAGAGAGCTCTTCCCTTTCATGTAAAAGGATACTTGTAAGGCATTTATATTACTGCAATTTACCCTTGAATTCACTCTGGATTTTAGTGTCCAATGAGGAAGAGAGGGCGGAGAGCACATTTGGTTGGCCACTGTTCAATCTTGTTTGGTCTGAAAAATCAAAATCAAACCACTGTCTCTTCTAGACGTCATTTCTTTGCCAGCATTCCTATTATTCAGCATCTTGGCTTTTTTTTTTTTTTTTTTAATGGCAGAGCTGGTATAAATTTGTCTGACTGTATTTAGATAGAAAGAAATGAATACACTCATGTGGCAAGTTAAATACTTTGCCAAATTTTTCAAAAATGCTTTATAATATACTAAATCCATAAATTGTTCTCTGTTGTACATGTTTACTGCTGAGTGATTCCACTCTTCCTGGATTTTATATGGTTTTACATCTATTGCTTTAGCAGCTTGTATCATATCACAGCACTCTCTCTTAGTCTCAAAAAAAAAAAAAAAAAAAAAAAAACAAAAAAACCCAAAACGTTTTTACTTGATTGGAAGGCTTCAAAGCCTTAGCTTAAATTAGGAATTCCAGTAACTTCTTAAGTAACTAGTATTGCAAAGGGACTTCAATGGAAGAGCTTCTTCTTTGGATGAAGGAGTCAGATGCTCCTTGCCAGGGTGGTAAAGGGGAGTCAAGGACAAGGTAAAAAGGCATGTGATTAGAGTCCTGTGTATGACCATTTCCCCAGCCTCAGACAAGCAGAGTAGATCCAGATGTAACCAGTAATACAAGAGTGCCTCCTCTGGGAATTTGCTGGTTCTGCAGACAGAAGCCACTGTGATTACTTCCCCTCCTCCAAACTTGTCTTTCTGAAAGGCTTTTTACAGACAAAACTTCCAGTGAAACTGAATATGCACACATCTGCCCATACATTCATTTCAGATTATAGTATAGGTTTTCATCCAGGTAGAATTTATTTCCTGTTATTTTGTGTTGTTGAACATGATGCCTTTTTTGGAAGTCACATATATCACACCTGCCACAAGGTAAATATGAGGGCAAATTAAAAATTAAAATAGATACAGTCAAGATTTCTTATAAAAGTAAAGTATAAAGAGAAAGCTTTTTAAATACAAGTCTCTATTTTCTTATTACATAAATAATTCAGAAGGGCTGTGCTTTGTCACTTTGTTTACTTTGTAATTTACAGAGGCTTCTCCTTCAGTATAAACCATTGTTCCTCTCCCCTTTTCATTCCTTTCGCTCAAGGCAGAGGTTGTTTGTGCTTAGATGAAATTGACTCTATAATCTACTTAGAGACGTTTTCTTCCCGTGTTTGATAACCAGACACATACTATAGGCTATGTTATGATTCATTTCCAGGGTCCCTGCCTGCATATTTGGGCCAGTTATCAGTAAGATATTGTGGTCTGGGTTGTAATATTATCTGGTCTAGGGAGCTAATGGATTTCTCCACAGTTTCTTTATGTGAGAAGTAACATAGTACAAACATTACCAAAATTCACTAATTGAAATAAAATTTTTGAAAGGGGAGGGTTTCTTCATCACCATTAAACTTTAAATCATATATATATATATGTATACATATACACACATATATATGTATTTAGCTAATTGGATGGTAGTGTAGTGCTAAGTGCTATATTAAAAGCTGAAAATGTAAAATTACATCTAGAATGCCAGAAAATGACAGTCATCTTTAAAAGATAGGATTATAATAACACAGAAGAGTACAACTGTTATGATAGTTATTTTACCCCCCCAAATAGTCCTGTACACTCATTTTCTGTTCAAAAATATTTGTTTCTGAGTTAATGCCCCATTTCTCAGACTCCCAGTGGGAACTTGTTCAATTTATACTGGAAATAGTTAATTTCTTAGTCCCATGAGTTATGTTGTGATTGACAAGGTTATTTAGAAGTGAGAAGGCAACATTAATCTTGTATATTGATCCTTCTCCATCTTTTTAAACACAAAAATGCAAGACCTTAGACTGGAGATTCCCCCTTTATATTACTCTGCCCTGCCTCTCGTCCTGAATGACAATCAAGTTTATTTTCTACATTAAAAAATAAAACTCGCCGGGCGTGTTGGTGCACACCTTTAATCTCAGCACTCGGGAGGCAGAGGCAGGCGGATCTCTGTGAGTTCTAGGCCAGCCTGGTCTCCATAGTGAATCCAGGCCAGCTAGGGCTACAGGGAGACCCAGTTTCAAAATAACCAAAAAAATAAAAATAAAATAAAATAAATAAAACTCATCATTACACAACTTTGAATATGATTATATCTACTTTACTTTTGAGAATGATGGTCTATTCCAAAGATCATACATTAGAAAGGGATCTGTGACCCAAATGAAAACTTTTAGCAAACACTTCAAACTACTAGCTGTGCGACCTTGGACATTTAACCAGGCTTCCGTGGAATTCATTTTTGTTTCAGTAAAGAAAGAAGAGGCTGACATAGGTTTTTATAGTTGATTTTGCCCCAAATAAGTTATCCATCTGTGGCTCTGTCACTTCAGAGATCTTCTAACATGAGCAGAAGAATTGTGGGTTCTTTATGTTTCCTTCTCACATGGACTCTCACGAAAACCAATGTATTTCACTATTATAATTGAAATGACATTCTCTTTGACAATTTTATAAACATTGTCCTTAAAACTTGGCTTGTAATGTCATGGTTAAGAATGAAGTATGACTAATACTCTTAAAAGCTTTGTGTCCTAGTCTTCTTGCTAGTGAAGAATTTGGACATCTGCTCAGTGAGGAATCAAAGGATATTAGAATGTGTTAAGTGATTATACTTTATTTTTTAACATATATTTTATTGAATTTTTGTGCATTTCATACAATACCTCTTAATCATATTTAGACCCCCTCCCCTATCTGCACCCCCCATACATCCTCACTGGATTCCATGCAGAAGTGATTCTACTTTAAAAATGAGTAAAAGGAGCAATGAAATTAATATTCATTATGTAAAACTGACAGCTCTAACTTTGTGGACTGAGAGGAATCAGAGATTACCACTTGGTCACAGATACCTGCTGTCCTGGGGAAATAAGGGTGAATGAAGATCTTTCAGGAAGATAGTGAAAGAATCAATACAAATTCTCCCTTGAGCTTAAATTGAGCCACTTTATTCCTAAGGA